GAACTAAACCGTTTTTTCCCCCTCTCTCTTCTGTAAAATTTTGCTTTCTTGGCTCTGTCCATTTTAACAGCTTGCTGAACAAATTGTTCTCACAATATGTGAGTTTGACTCTTTTGCAGGGAGTATTACTGAAGTGTCTTTAGGCCATTTCCAAAGGGGGGACATTAACATGTTCGTAAGCACAGTAGAATTGTAAATGGGCTGATTCATCAATGTCATGCTTATAACTGCCTGAACTGCAACAGGGAACTGCTGCTTTTTTTTTCCTAATCCTTACTATCGTCACTTTTCCTCTACTTTTTTTGTTATGTTTGTCACACTCTTGTGACCCGCTATTTCCAGGGTGCTCTGACAGTTGAAGCAGACATTGTGCTGTTGAAACTAGAAAGATGAGCAGAGTAAGCCTTATTCCCTGTAAGGACTTCTCTGTTGAAGTCCATCCCTCGGCACTCATATGACCTTATGCAGTAAAAAAAGGGAGTATTTTGGCCTGTCTGCTTTGATCCTGCATCTAATACTAATAATAGATAGCATTTGTATAGGGCAAATCCCCACTCAACAGCAAGCTCTGTGCGCTTCTCAGTCTATACTATTACCCCAGCAGGCCTGAGAACATTCTGAAACAAACTCAAATTCCTGGGAAGCGTACAGTGCAAGTAGCCATCTAAAGGCGCTAAAACACTAACATACTTGCAAGATCTTTCGCTGTCTATGGCTGGGTACCCATTCCCACCTGGGTGAAGTGAGGAAAATTCATGTAAAGTGCTTTTCCCAAGGACACAACGTCGGGCCCACGGCTCAAACCCCCGAACCCGCAACCTCACGATTATGAGTCCGGTAGCCTACATAGACATGACAGGGAGGGTAGAGGCAAGCTACTTGTCTCCTAAGTTAACGATCTTAATCATAATAACGGGAGTCGTTAAATATGTACAGTCAATCAGGGAGATAGCTTCCGAAAGAAAATTGCTGTAATCAGTGAGACTTCCTATACATGAAAACAAATCTGTCGGGGATGAAATAAATTGTGTGTGTGCTGGAGATGAGGGAACTGGCTTATTCAAAGGAATTAAACTTCTTTTTTTTTAAAACTGGTTTTTGCCCATTGATCGCAAATTTCCCATTAACTACTACTGACTCTGGTATTTTTCTCTTTTTTGCTTTCCAATTTCCAATCTCTGACTCATTTTTTTCCCCCCTATATTCCCGAAAAGAAAAGTTGCTTTTCCCTGGATCCTGCTGTGCAAAGAGATGAGTGTGATTCCCCCCCCCCCCCCCCAACTTGTTATATAAAAAGAAAAAGGTGCTGTCCTCCTGTGATGTTACATGATTTAGGGTTCAAGAAATTGGTGCTCTGGTCCACCGTCTGTTCACACTGTCAGCTATATATAAACATTTACTGACGTACATTCTAAGCATTTGCTTATGTAGATTGTATACATTTACCTATACGTTATCAACACTAAATTAATCTGATTAACGACATTTATTAGTATAGATATATAAACTTTTTTAAAGATAGATTATAAACTTTTACTGAGATAAATTATCAGTGTTTACTTTGCAGCATATTAATTACTAATTACAGAGATGGGGGAAATTTTCATTGTTACGTTAGGAGTTACAGTAAAAATCTTACATTTTAATGCTTATACTGCGCCATGTATTTGACAAATTAAAGAGATAGGGCAAATGTTTCTTGTTAAGTTAAAATTAATGTGCATTTTAAAAAGACCAATATTTTGCTCTGAATAAGGTTGAAATCTGTCGATAAAATCAGGTTTGTGTCAGTGTGTCCACACAATTTGAAAGTCTGGACTTTCGCAGGAGAGGTAATTATAAAAATAGTAATACAAATAAAGTTGATGATGATAATAGGGTTGGTGATGATAAGAATTCTTGGGATAACATAATTTTCTCGACCGCAGGGATGTAATTGTGTGCATACCTTCAGTATGTTGTATGGTGGAGATACCTAGCTAATTGTTCCCTGCGAAAATGTTACTGTGCATTAAAACAACAGTCTGAGTTGTTAATTTGAGGAAGGAATGAGGTGGTTTGCTGCAACTTATCAAAATACAGTTGAGTCTGAGATTTAGAAAGAGATTTACTGTGTAACATGAACAGCTTGAATTCGTCAGGACCGGCCTCGGTAATTCGAGGGATCTGTAGTTTGAGAACAGTGTTATGGCATCGGCTGCGTCAGAAAATCAAGGGAAGCAACAAAGATTGGGTCGGAACAGAGATTTTTCTTCTTTTGGCCATTGTCATCGATCAGATAGGTTAGGTCTATGCCAGTTGACTTGAATTTGAAATTTGAGAGAATCTGAAATTAACAGATTGAGAAAGAGGAGCACAATGAGCAACGCTTTCGAGTTCGATTGGTAATGAGCCTACTGGTACCAAGACAATTTAATTGCGCGGGTCAGTGCGAGCGGTATTTAGTCTGCACTAATCGAAAGGTGCCTTTTCAATTTTTTCAAAACAAACAATTCGATATTTTACCGACCTTGCCTTTTTCCGTTTCTATTATTATTATCCTTATTGTTTTGTGCACCTCAAAGGACATTTACTTCAGACCTCTATGGCAGCGGAATTAGTTACACTATTCTTTGTTTGTGTTTGAGCTTCGCAGAATTTTCTTACAAAAATAAAGAAGAAGAAGAAAGGGACAGCAGGCGCAGTTCGACGGATGCGTAATTTCGAGTAGTCTGTGTTCGACCGATCTGGGTTATACGGTAGTTGCATTTGTATGCTCTCGAAATGGTCTTCTGTGTGCCGGATAGGACGTTTTGTTACAGGACACACAGATGTGAGTTGGACAGTCCAACTGTCTGTCTGCTGGGATGCTTGCTCTCTGTCTCTCTGCCCCGCCCAACAGATAGGGTTGAAGCAGCCCTACTTCTAAACGATTTCATTTGCGTTGGGGGGAACATAAAAAATTTACTGTGTTTCCCATTCTATCTGTATTTATAACAGTTGGGTACTTGACTGATGGATATTTATCAAAATTCGGAGTTGCACACGTGTGAAGTACACTGATGATTCTAAATTCTCTCCGTTTTATCGCTGTCATGGCATTTGCACAAAAAGATGAACGGGCCTGTTGTGCTGCTGTGTTCGTTAAAAATTGGATATCCTTGTCGGGTGACACTTTTTATTGCTACATCAGGGAAATGAGGAATGGTGGCCATTTTCTCTGAGAAGAAGATAATTTGTACTGCTCTTCTGTCTTTCGTAAGTGTCTAGATTTTCATCAGTTTCCGCCTGTTTCCTTGCTTTTGGGATAATAATCTGTTGATTAAAGTTGCCTTATTTCAGCTTTATGAATGGAATTTCCTTAACCTGTTTGAAAGGTTTTTCTACATTTAAACTGCTCTGTGTGTGTCTGTTTGTTAGTGTGCATACTTGTGACTATAATAAGTCTGTTTTAAAAGACCAATATGGGGGAAAAAATAAAAGTGTGCGCAAAATTTATATGGTGCAGGTAAACGGGTTAAGACAGTTTTACGTGTCTTTCCCTCTCATCTACGTGGTCACTGAACAAACAGTGACAGATGCTGACATTGATTTCTAGCTCCATGTGCTTTTTCTCATGTCTGTATTTATTTTATTTCGTACTTTAAAAAAATAATTTTTGTGAGTGTTTTGTTTTCTGTAAGAGTCAGTTCTAATCTGTCTGCTGCGTGAGCAGAAAAGGCATGCTTGGATAGATCCCCTGGAAAATTGATCTTAATTGCTTTGAGGGCCTTCGAGACGAGCGCGCTGTTGGAGACAGATGGTAGGCCCTACACAGAGATGCACGTGGTTGGGGTAGAGGTGGTGTGCAGACAACTCAATAATTGCAGACTCGCACTAAATCTATATTCAAATTGTAGACGATTGCTCCGCATGTTTGATTTGATTTTAGTGAGATTAGGATTAGATTTTTATGAAAAAACAAACTGCGCTTCTTTTGGGAAAAACAGTGATGTAAACACACCCC